GTCGTATGTGAGCTCTCCGTGGTGTTTGTCCAGAACCTGCGTTATCTCCGCCCTCAGTCTCTGCTGAATCTCAGAATGCAAAGCGAGTTCGTACAAAGCGTAGCTCAGTGTAGTGCCCGATGTTTCAAAACCCGCTGCTAGAAATGCGAAAGCCTGTGCCACAAATTCGTCTCCGTCTATTTCTGAAATAGGAAAATATATCGCTGTCGTATTGTCTTCGTTTTCTACTTTCGATATACACTGCTTTGTCTTGTTTTGTTGCTACGAAGGTGGTGCATATTTTCGCACTTGACATTTACGTGTGTCAATTACATGAATGTTTATTTGCGTAGAGTTTTCTGGTCCATTGTCTTTGATGTGGTGAAAACCTTACCAGTTCCGAATGAAATCAGAAATGTTATTACCATGTTGTCATTATCCCAGCACTTAACATCTCCGCGGATGTAACTTCCATTTGTCAACACCACGTTTCTGTTGATATTGAAAGCAGAAGTATTTTTTTCGTAATTATACCGCTTCATTTTCTGTACACCACCTATCCCTTTACTGTTTTGTAAGTTATTGTGAAAGCTTTCTGATTTTACGAAAATTTATTAAATAAGTCTGCCATGTAGCATCGTTATTGAGAACCTGATCTGTAATGTAAATTATATACAATATCCTCACTTATAGAGACAGTAATAATACATCATAGTAATATTCAAATGATTTGACTCTTTAAAACGCTAGTGCCCAGAAACCAGCTCATAAGCTATAGGTTCTTGTAAAATTGGTGCTAGAATTACGTCATGATATTGTAACCAAATAGAAACATGAAACTCACGGTGAGCTTCACTCGCATTCCAGTGGGATTCAGAGAAAGTACCGACCTGATAGAAATTATCAAGAGTACTCTTTCCTAATCTGTTTGAATCTTCGCCCCCTAGACTCAGCCTTTTTGCACTCAGGCAATGCGAGGACGCCTCATCGCTGCGAGTTACGAAACTTGGAAAGAAAAGCGGAAGATTTAGGTGAAACGAAAGCACGAATTTAGTATTGTCGCTTGTGTGGCAAGGCTATTTTAAAAGTTCACCTGCATTCGCGTTTTGTGTGAGCCTACGTAAATTTTTGCGATTAAATTAAAATGTTCCTCGTACTGTTTAGAAGTTAAATTTGATGCATTATTTTGGTATTACCCATATCATATAAAAGAATGCTCTCAACTTACCAAAATGTGAATCGTTCTCTTGACTCTTTGCTGGTATTTTGTCTTCTTGGACGCTCCTTTTCCATTTATTTCTCATTTCGATCATAGAATCCAGAAAATCATTTCGTATAACCTCATTCTTCTCCCTATGACAGAAAATGTTAAAAGATCGTTGAGAAGGAATAAGGAATTGCAAATATTTATTTGGTATTAAATTTATTGAAGAAACTGTCCACAGTTAAGTATCTGAAACACACAACAGCGTTTCAGAGAATATGATATCCAATTACGGCAATCTTTAGCGGCCTAGACTAATTTATTTTGACAATGGAGGGTGAAATTTGTCTCTGATCTTTTGATCAATAACTCCAGCTACAACTGCATGTAACTCCCACTTCAGCTTAAATGTGTGATACTGAGGAACGATGATAAATTGAATATTTTCACTCTATAGAACATAAACTCAAATACACGCTCATATGAAACAGTACAATTGTGTTTAAACACTTTCTGTTTTAAAAATATAAGAGCATGTTAATATTAACCCCTGGTCATTATCGTGATCCTGTTCAATTATCCATAGCGAATGAGGCTATAATATTAATTTTATAAAATGCAAGGGGGTCCCGATTTTCAGACTAGTCGGCGAGTAAATGACGAGTTCCTCTTTCCTGAAATTTATAAATAATTCTAAAATATTTTGATGCTTGTATTCTACACTTGGGTAAATGTAAAAAAAATTATACTTTTTCATTGTAAATTTTCGTTTGATGATGAATTTTATTTTATTAACGAATTTATTTCCTTAACATGTTTACTATTTTGAATATACTAATAGATATAGTAGAGAAATAATATACATATTTTCCAGACCTGTAATCCACTGTCTGCCAAACGGCCTTCCTGATGTAGTTGGTTGTGTCGTCATCCACAAATTTCAGCTTCAAGATCCTCTTAAGATTAGGCGCGAAGAACATTGTCAGACCAGCCAATCCTCTTCTAATTGAGAAGTCGAAAATATTGCGCATGTATCGTCTGAACTCTGCGTCGGGATTCTTGAGCGAGTTGCTGTTAATGCCGAAGGCGCAAGACGCTATCACGTCGGTCGTGAACCTAGCCGTCGTCTCTCTCACATCTACTGGGGTCCCTGTGAATATTATGAAATAAGTAAGCTGATTCATACAACATTGTCTTCTGTTCGTTTCAGTCCACAGAAATAATAAAAATCGAAGTTGTCGTTGTCGTTGTCATGGTATATGTAGATCTGGCTCGTACGTACAGACTGCAAATGTAAATTTCTGAGGAAAACCCGGACTGTAACGATGTCGACCTTCTGGGATGTGACGCCGTGTGAACTTGCAAGTATTTACGTAGCTACTACGCACAAGTACACATGGAGTCTTAGTCCAGGAGAAGAACATCGCAATTCTCAACGCCGTGAAAACTGAAATTTCGGTATCGCTTAGACATTTGACGAGTAACAAGTGTTGCGCAAATTGAACAATTTTAAACAAAGTTTAAAACAAAGGGAACTTATAGTTATAACTTTCCTGGTGCATTAAATATAGTCAAATATAATCATCTGATTCAATTTCATGTACTCTGTATATTCTGATTAGGGATGTATATGATGCCGCTTAGGATCACTTACCGTCAGCTGTGACCATGTCCAGATATTTCACCAGGTCCTTGCCACAGAGTTCCACAAGGTAGAACATCAACTTCATCTTTGCCGATGTAAATACCGGAGTCAGGTTCACTCTGACACGGCGCCAGCGTTGTCCTTTTGTCACAAATATGGTCTTTCCAAGCAGAGGGTCTAGGTTTTCGTCAACTGCGATGACACGGTCAATGAAGTTCTGCGCATCCTTTACCAGAATATTCTTCACCAAGTCCAGGTCGCGAATCAACAAATTCGGCTGATCGAACGCGAAGATGCCCACAAACGGCTTGTCGCTATGTTCGCTGTAGATTCTTTGAAGAGTCTTCCCTATATTTTCCTTCAGGAACATCACTTCCTTTAGATTGCCTACAAACGGCAGGGGTTTTACGTAAGAGACACCGAGTTCCTTCCAGAAGTTGAAGTTTCGAGTGAAATAAAAGTATAAATAAATAAACAAGCCACACAAAATTGTGAAGAGAGCGAGTGTTATGTAATTAAATATAAGAGCCATTATTGGAAATTAACACTGAATTTATTAAAGACGATATTATGACCACTTATGCACATTTAAACTTTAAAAACAATTTTCCAAAGCAATATGAAACGAAAAAAACAGTGTATTCAAGGCTGTTATAACTTTGAAGTGACTTTACGCCTCCCATCAATGTGTTAGAAAAAAATCTTGTTTTCGTGTTTATTGTAATCAATGTACGACCTGTTTTGAAAACAATTGTGCCAAGAGTTGAGAAGGTGATGCCGTTTAACAGAATGCAGTAAAATCTGTTTCAGTGTGTCCTCTTTAAAGGCAGTAAGAAAACTGATCTTTCTGGCTTGGATCGGATTTGCAAGAAGCGAATTACGTTGCTTCCACTATCACGCAACAAGAAACTCGACCTTCAGACATGTACGGCTGTAAAAGGACCTTGAGACTGTTATATTTGCATCTAGGCTTTGTGCCCTTCAGAGAGCGGCTCCTGAACTCCTATCGACATCATTTATCAACTTATATTCCATTAACCTATGACGGCACGTGGTGTATTTACATGAATAAACTATTATTAAAATGCTCTTGTTTATGAGATACACAATTTTTTACAAGTGCGAAATGTTTTTCGCTGTTCGTTCCCTCTTAAAAACGAAAATGTTAATGCTCACTATTCGGTATTTCTCCGTGTAATATTCTATCGACACGTTGCAAAATGGCTGGTAGATAAGAGGTGGATAAAGGTGAACTTTTGTGGGAGATGAAGCGATGGCGTAAAGGGGATGCAGGATGACGATATGAAAGTAGTTAGTTGTCGCTGAAATGTAAAGGTCCCATTCGACTACTTTCTAAAATCTGAACATTGGATCTTTCAGCAGTGATCTTTGAGCTGGTTGCAATCTTCCATCCCCACATTACACTAAGGTAATTGATTGGAAACAGGGAAAAAAAATTTTCAAGGCGACTAACGCAGTTGTGCTTCGGCAAAGACAAAGCAAAAAACAAGAACAACAACAACATGTGTTTCCTTCAATGTCATCTAGGTTTCTAATGTCAGGGGCACCTGAAAGGCATACGATTACATGATGAGGATGCCAGTAAATGCTGTGCAGAGATTCCAGAGACACGCATGAGGCCCAACCTCAGTTTGCCAAGTTCCTCTCAGGACTGACAATCAGCAGTGGATGGAGTATGCACATGAAAGATCATGTTTTGTGGGGTTTACGATTCCATAATTTTACATGCTCATATTTGCTGCACTGTCCAGCAATTCCCTTCTCTAACCGACGGGAAATTGTAAGCAGAGACTCGCTGGTATCGATAGCGATAAACTAATCGGGAAGCCTCTGTCAGAAAGATGCTTCCTCATATAAGATGATCACAATCCAAAACATCAACTTCGGCCTTCATGAATTTATTTAACGTTGACGAGTTGGAAAAGAGCGGTCAAGTCGAGTTTCTGGACCTTGTGAACGCTGTAATGAACCTTAGAATTCCATTAACTAATTAATTAGCTAGCTTAGGGAACACTTCTTTCATGCTTCCCGAACAGTACCCGGTGCACACCTCTTGTCACATCCGTGCACGCCACATGCCCTGCCCATCTCATTCTTCTTAACTGAAACACAATGATGATGTTGAGAGAGCAGTACAAATTTTGAAGCTCATCATTATGCAGTTTTCTCCATGCCCCGCCGTTTCTCATCTACGCTCAGATGCGGTTCTATTAAGGGACGGAAATGTCTTAGCTATCTGAGACACTAACAGCTTATGAAGAAAATATATACCATATATTTCGTTATCCAATTGAATTCTTTTGTATATGAGTGTACTAATGATAAAATACTAGCTCCGTGAACACACTGAAAAAACAATAAGTTCAGATGTTATTGTTGTTTGTTTAATTTGTGTTTGGAATTTCTCTTCTGCATTCGGGAAGAACCAGGTTCAAATCGCGGCATGAAGACCTTCAATCCTGACTCAAGTTATACTTTTTATTTTATATACGCACTGGGACAATTTCCTAAATTACGTTGCTACACCTCTTGTTCCATATCCTTTCCAATCCATTATTCAACACGGTCATTGCACTCCATATAGTCTGTTACATACATATTCATTAAATACGAGCAAGGAATAAATGCAGAAATGTTATTTTATTTCCATCTTCTTAAGCATGAATAAAAACACAAGTAAATATCAATTTACACACACTTCGCACATGTCAATGTACATCACAGAAATAGAGAAGCAGTCTTCGAAGCTTCTGGTAGTTAGTTCATTAACTGAAATTTTGTCTATGTTAATTGCACAGGGCGACAGAAAAGCAAACTTTTAATATAGAATTAAAGGAACCACATTTTGTCGTCCACTTATTTTCGTCTTAATTGTAAAAAAACGAGTGATTCATGACAAAAGACGAAACTTAAATGCGTGTCAAGGAGAGCGGAATCTTCCCAATCGGAAGGAACAGGAAACATTTTGGGTCATAGACTATAGGCACAGGGGTTTCTTCGCAGGGCGCCACATCATAACTGGAGAGTACGTGTATCAATCCCATCTTCACCTGTATCAGCCCGAACCGCATTCCTGTGAACAGAACCACAAGCTCAGCTGAGGAACAGAGTTGAATCTAATAGGCATGAAGAAAGCCAGGAATTTGCTATATTACAGAGAAGACCTTTCCTTTTTGATTTATCGTGGTCA